CGAAGTGGATTCTAAACTGTGGCTGGAGATCCCGTGTTCATCATACGGTGTTATTAGTAAATAGGTAACGGTTGTTAATATCACTTGCCTAATAATCTAGCAACATTTTCCCATTACCCTGAGTAACTTTAGTGCTACTTCCATTTGGGGAAGGAAAAAATAAAGTTAACTTCAAAGCAAAGCTTTTCATCTTTTTTAAATGATAGTAGACCAACAACTAATCAAAGCTAAGACTGTGTGCTAATAGTGAAGGAGTGATCAATGTATGATAGAACCCTAATGACAACCTTAATAAACTTGATGTATATCAGAAATCAACTAAACGGACACTTTGAAATAAGAGAGTAACAACCTCATACCTGATTTGATTAGTTTAGAATATTTGCAGGATCTGAGTCAGCATTTTTTTCCTTCCGTACACTTAGTTTTGATCTCAGTTATGAAGCAGACGCAACGAATTCCTTTCTGTTTTTGTTTTTGGCGTGTACAGTTCGTTTTTTTTAACGTCACATCCCAGTGCCTGACAAAGAAAATACATTTATTAGGATACAACTTAAATAAGTTGTTCGTTTTTAAATTAATTGGTAATCCCACTGTGCCGTCAAAAAGCACACTGGGTTCCACATAAAGAGGCTGTAGGAAGCCCGTCCTTAGTTTATCGTTATCTCAGAGCTCCCATGGTACGCCTTGTATGTGTTACGGCCTCTCTTCTTTCGGTTCCATATCCTTATTATTTCTCGCAGGAATCCTGTTTACAGAAATCCCATCTTTCTTGCAGGAAAATACACAGTATTGGTAGTCCAATGATTTTATGGGTAGATGATTTTGCAGGATGCTTACCATGTTGGCCGTGTGGTCTTTGTCGGCGCGTTGTTCAGGCATGGAGTTCCCTACCTGCACAGTGGAGGTTTTCCGTGTCTTGGACAGGATCGACTACCCCCGAGATGCCAACGGAAACATCATTGCCATGGTGCATCCCAATCTGCAGGTAAAACTAGGCCGCCTGTGTATTCAACCTTTTGAACCTGTGATTATGAGCTGTTACGAAAGAGGAAATGAGACCGCTTTGCTCAATGTGTAATTGTATTCTGTCAGATTGAGGGACACACTCAAGTTACTCTCCTTCGGCCTGCCGCTTGTTGTTTCAGGACTGTGACTGGGAGCCGCTGAACCCCGGTGACCCTATGTTCCAATCGTTTGATGGGAAGACCATCCGCTACCAAGGACTGGGCACCGTCTTCCCCACTTTCATCAATGAGGCGGCCTATTATGAAAAACAACAGGCCTTTGTAACCACCAGACGAGAAGCCTTGGTGGCGAGCGCCATCAGAAAAGTATAAAAACTGGTTGCCGTTAGCCGCGGCAACGACCTGTGTGTAGATTTTGCACTTTGTTCTGTTAGCAAATGACAGACTTTCCCCTCTCGCAATGACTAGATTTTCTCTTTTTTACACACTGATTTAGTTTGCCAAACATTGACTTTCAAAGAATCTATTAACTATGCAAAAATGTGTGTGCAAGGTTTTCAAAGAGTCACTGTGAAAGTATAATGCCGTGGTAGCTATTTATGATACCGTTATTTAAGTACACATATATATGGATTTACATTAAATCAAGTTTTTTTTGTATAATATTAAAGTCCAGGCCTAATCATTGGTGGCTTATAAATCACTAACTATCTCTCTTTAAGTTTCTTACGACTCCCTAGGCTACATTTGACCCAAAACTGTAGTTGTGAGTCCTCTTACACACACACATGAATATCTATATATATATATAAAGATATGTGTGTGTGTGTGTATGTACGTGTTTGTGTGTGTAACGTCTTGGTGAGGGTTTGTGGCCTTTGATACTGCCTACCTGTAACTCCAGTGGTTGCATCTGTGGTGCTGTCCTATCCTTTGCCTTAATAGAGATTTCAGACAACAACAACAACAAAAGACTTTCACAACCGATTTGCATTGGAATTTTTAGATTATACGTGTCAGGTGACAAGATACTATTTTGATAAGAAATTGCGTACATGCTGTTCACTTAAACAACTGGGATGCAGTAAACCGTGTTTTATAATAATATACCTGTATATTTTGATATAATTGTCCTTTTATGTTTGTTTTAAAGTGATATACATAGTACCTTGATCTTTGAAAACATATGTGCTTTTTAAATGTTTTCCGTCTTTTTATTGTGTCCAAGTGTATCAATGTGGTCTCACAGAAACTTGTGTTTCAATTAGCAATATTTTGGTTGTAACATTCATATTAGTAACGTCTGCTGTCCTTGACGTCCTGTGGAAATGATCCAATCAATAAATGTAGTGCTGCGCCACACTGTGCTGTTTGGTTCGATGAGGCACCCTTCATGTAGTGTTGCACTTGGACCACTAGGGGGCGTCACGCACCCACTGATGGAAGGTTGTACCAGATGAGCCAGTTGCACACTTACACTAAATACCACGTGACGTGACTGGTATTTCAGTTTCATGACCCCAGGTTGTTCCTGACCTTTCCCATCTATGCATTGGATGCAACCCAATTGGAGATCTCAGGGCAATGGTTCCTCCTGGCTTCTACTGAGCGCCCATCCCCGTGTCCATAGTGGTGGCGTTTTCTGTTTTACTGGAAGCCTTGGCTGCTCGCCAAGGTGGCATCTGTTTGCAGCTGCATTTATCCTGCTGTAGGTGACTGGGGTTTTCTGGATATTAGAAATCACTGTGATCAAAAGTCTCCAAGCTTAGGTAAAATAAATGTCTCCTTTGCTTGATTTAACAATGCCTAAGTGGTAAATGTAAAGTGTTTGCCTGATGGGCCACACAAATTGAATGCGGTTTGACAAAGAGCATTCTGCAGAGATAAAATAGCAAGTCAGCCAAAACAATCCAAATAACAATGGCAGGTGTGTATCTGATGTGCATGCACAAATGCGTGGGAAAATGCAGTGTTGTCATGGATGCCGGGTAGCACGCTAGACACCACCCTTGGCTTCCTTCCCTGTCACGGAACAGTCCTGTTGTGCAATAATGCAAGGTAGTAAATCACAACTATTGTCAGCGGGAAATGCCTATGTCCGTGTTGTCAAGACAACGCGTGAGACGAGAGAGCAACTGAGTCAACACAAAACAGGAGGGTCCACATTCCAGTTTTCCTCAATGCAAGTGATACCACTCAGCCCGTAAATCCTGGATTTCTTGATAGTGCTTTTAATGAGCAATAACAATCGAATGTGTTTATCGGGCACGTGCACAGATTTTGGGGGGCAGGTGCTCAAACCAAAAAAAAAGGGCACCGATTACCTAAATTACTTATGAAATCAAAAATAATATTAATAATTAATCTAATAGACTAATTAAAAACACAGTATGATATTTTCAACTTCTATATTTATTTTTGTTAAAACTAACTCAATTTATCTAATTGGTTAAATAAATGAATACCAGGCAAAAACGGACTAAACAAGGTCATATTGTACTAAGCAAGAGTATCGTTACTTACTGTTTCTGACGTTGTTGAAGCATAAGCAGCATTACACTAATAATATACCACAATATACCTCACCACCAGACTGTCATGTAGCTCTTAAGACCTTTCATTTCAATAATTCAATTAAATTAAACAAAACTAGTGGACTACTGAACTTGTCTAATTTGTAAAATGAATGAAAATTCTCTGCCTGTCTGTATCTCTCTCCTTCTCTCTCTTCATTGAACATGACACACGTCAGTAAACAGCTGGACAAGCCTTTGAAATCACGGATTTTCGACTTTTTTGTTTATTTTCTAGGAAACGGACCAGTTTATTGGTAGCGGCAATTAATGTGGTTAATTTATAACCAAACAACGTCATTACCTGTTTGTCTGATGCTGCAGCCGTTTGGTGCTCAGCACTGCACTAAGCGGAGGAGGAGGGAGGGGCGCCCCGACATGCTCACAAGAACTCGAATAAATGCCCCATCAGATATCAAAACACATTTTGGGGGAATCGACGACAGAGAGAGTAGTTTTTAATAGTAGCTTTTTAATTCTTAAATATTGAAAAAAAGTGTGCTCCAGCAGAAGGGGCACTTTTCTCACCCAGGGCAAAAGGGCAGGTGCTTGGGCACCACTAGGGGTCTATCTGTGCACGTGCCTGGTGTTTATATCATGCATATGTTCAGGTGTCTTTGTATGAGTACCTTAAATTACTTTTCTTTGACAAAAAGGCGAAGCCAGCAGATCTGTGGAGACGCACACCATCAATTTCAGTTAATATGCCCCCCTATTCCCTTGTGTATATATATATATATTTTGTCAAATGAATTTGAACAACTCTTCCGCCTCAGCAACGCTCGTTGCATTCAATAACTATCGGAATTATTTTGGTACTGCTGCGCATTATAGGTAATGTCTCGCGGTAGCCTGCTCAAGTGCTAGCAGATGTGTTATCTGGAGATAGAGGCAGTGTAATCGTTTGATCATCGACACTTGTCGATCATACATCTTACTATCATACAGCAGGCAAATTATGAGCCATTTATATTCTACAGAGCATCGCTGCGTGGTTGAAATGTTGAAAAAGTTAAAGGAACAAGGTCTGGGTATTTTGCCAAAGAAAGTCAAACGCATCTGCTTTAAAAAGTCCGACATCGATTGCTGACTAGTGAGTTGATATAATTTACTGTCACACAACTATGGTGCTGCTCATTTTTTACGAGTAGCACCTGAAGGCAGCACGTCTAAATCCAGGAAGTCTCGAAACTTTTCAGCGGAGTGACAAACTTGTTCTGCGCATCACTGTCCGCGCGCACAGTGCGCGCGCTGCTCCTACGTGTGGCAGGTTGACGATGGTCAGAAAACGGTCGAGTTAAAAAAAAAACAATCTTAGAAGACGAAGGCGGCGAAATGCGAAGGACACGCCGCTAATTGTCGCTGAAGAGGTGGGTGCGCAGAACATTTAACTCCCAACGTTTGTCTCTTGACTGTCGCGAGCCCCGGGCTGACAAGACGCCCGGTTTGAAAAAACGATATGTGGGAACAAGACGAATTTGCAAAGCACTGGAGGAACGAATTCCCCGATGGGAAAGTACCTCACATGGCGTTTGAGTCCGTGGAGGACATCGAGTCGGAGCTGGAGGCGAGCAAGGCCAACCTGAAGAGGCTCCAGAAGGCGCTGGCGGAGGAGAAATTCAAGGTGATCTACCTGCAGACCACCATGGCTCAGCGGAAGACGAGGTTCCGCGGGAAAGATGAGAACGCCAACGTGGACAAGAGCGGGGAGACCAGGGGACCGCGGCGGCGGGTGGACGAGGTCGACGGGCAGTGGACCGCGGCGTGCGACTCCGGGTGCGCGAGGCTCAACGCGGGGGGCGTCATGAGCTCCTTCGGGCGCGAGCGGGGCAGGTTCAGCGGCAAGACGGGGAAGCCCGTCCCCATCCCGGTGCCCCCGCCGAAACCCAGCTTCCAGAAGAAGGACCCGGCGCCGGCCGGCGGCGAGGCGGGCAGCGACCGAGAGTACGAAGACGCGGAGCTGAACGAGAACTTCGTCCGGAGTAACTTGTTGGCGCCGAAGGTCGTCTGCGGCGACAACCAGAGGACGCCCGCCGGCTACCGGGAAAACCGGTGGCCTTTCCGCCTCAGCAGGGACTTGGACTCCGGCGACGAAGGCAGGGTGTCCCCGTCCTGCCTGCGCGTTCCCGGGAGCAGCACCCCCGACAGGAGGAGCGACGGGTACCTGAGCTCCGACCATGACGACGACTCGTCTGCAGGTATTCTAATGGAAATTAGGAAGTGTGTGTCTATCATATATATACAAAGCAATGCTCCAGTGGATCCGATTGCATTGTGGGCCTGACTGGATGTTGAGTGACATCGGGCAAGTAAAGCATCTTTACAGATGGCTGTGACTTCCATCACCTCAATGTGCTCAGGCTGAGCAGCTGCTCGCAGTTTCAGCACGAACCTCACTCATTTATTCATTCTTGCCGTGTCTTGCCGGCCCCTTTTGACTATAGAGGGCCAAAGAGAGTTTGGCTCTGGACCAGAAGACCAAATGCGGTAAGTGGTGTTGAATGTGTCAGGCCTGACTAGAGGTCGATAGTACCTATAACCATTAGGCCCGCTGCAACAAACCACCGTATTTCCTGTTCAAACCTTCCTGCTCATGTTCCAGCATCACTGTTATTTTTGATTACGTAGCGTTCACCTCTAACTGTGGTTTTGGTAAAGAATTATAGCATTTATACACTGATAATTTTATAGTTAACAATACACTAAACCATCAACAAGGTACAACATGACAGTCTTGTCCTAGTATTCTGTCATCACGCTGCTTCATTTATTTTGCGTTTGTAAAAGGACATTTATATGTCATTTTTGTTCATGCAGCATTGACATGAGAGCTAATGAACACAACGCAAAGTCTGGTGATCTGACACAAGTACAAATCGAAATAGTCAATGGATCTCAATTTAGCAAATTGAGTTTGACTTTATTGGGTAAGATGATCTCAACGCATCTCATCAGGAATACTCTGTTGATTCACACAGACTTCCTCAAAGTGTGGCAACATCCATGGAAATTGTCTGAACAGCATTAATCAAGATTCAATGAGTAAGAGCATGAGAATAGATTTTCAAAGGTTATTGGAGCTGACAAAACATTTTGTGACACATTTTTCTTCCCAGTCTGTTAGGCCCTTGTTTTTTGAGGATAATAGGCTTGTGAGGCTCAGTAGTAATTGTCAGCTAATTGCTTTCCTTTTTGTTGTGGTTCTGTTTATTGGTATTCAATAATAACTAAAGGGATTTGCTGCACATTAGCTGTCAAAATTATATAAAAGGATTTTAGGAAATTGTCTGGCTTCAGTGTTTGAAGCAAGAAGTCCAAAATGTAGAAGTGGTTTTAGATAGACCTTCGTGCCCAGTGAGCAGCAACCAGACACCAGTGCAGGATTGAAGCTCAAGCTCTGTCTTTGTATACAATTGAATGAAGAAGGCTCTTCGTTTGATTCGATTTTTAAACAAGGTTAAGCAAAAACGGCATGCGTCATATTTGAGGGGGCCGCCACTTTTATGGAAGTGTCCGACGTCACTGAGGAGCAGACACGATTGTGTGGGGAAATGGCTCTTTAGTAAAGTCACTGGAGGGGGAGATCAGTGTGGGGGGGCCTTGTTTGTCTCCGAAGCCGGCTGCTCGTCTCAAATCCACAATTAGAGAAACACAAGCAGCGTCGCTTTCTAATTAAGACGCACCGTTTGTCCAGTGAGGGAGGATATAGGGGATACGTATTAGGGGAAATATTTTCCCTTAAAGCTGTGGGTCACTAAAGCGAATCACTTACTGTTCTCTCCATTTATTCCATCTTTATTCTCCAGCAGGATACGGATGTTTTGCTCTGGCGAATGGGGAAATAATCAGTGCACAGACTGTAAACAATGAAGGGCGTGTAGTCCTACGGGAAGTACTCAAAACCTTTTTTTGGGGGGGGGGCTCTGCACTCGGCTGTGAGGTCAACGCTTTTTAACAGCGGTGACAGCAGTTGTCCGGCCCCCGGTCACTTGGCATCATGGGATGCTCGTCCCAGCAGGGCGCTTGTGCCACGACTCTTGCTCACGCTGATGCCTTTGTGCGTTCCCTGGGAAGGGGTCAGTCATCAGCTCGTGTGCGTCTGAAGCTGCATGTCTGGCTTCTCTGTGAGCCGTGATTCAACCTGTGATTCACGCCGGCTGTCGGTCGAAGCCCGGAGCCGTCCATTGTTATTTTAAGACCTGAGCTCAGTGGAGTTTGATGGATTTGGTGGTGCACAAATCGCTTTTTGTGCAAGCAAGCACAGGGAGCCTGTGTAATACCTTGTTTACTTTTTGACCGACATACTTCTTACTTGCAGTTACAGCTGATGAATTGGATGTGACAGTTTAAGGGGAGTTTGTTGGGTCAGTTGATTGAGTTTGATGTGTTTTTTGCCAGCTGAGGGCCCCGGTTGCAGTTTCTGTTAACACACTTAAATCACAGGCCTGCCTTGAATTCGAAATTCAATGTTAAAGTATTTAAAAATACATTACTTTCCAGCTGACCTAAAGGTCTGTTGTAATTATTTGAAAAACTAACTTAAAGGCGACGTGAGAAGGGACAATACCCAAACAGTGACTCCACTAGAGCACATTCAGTGATAACAAGCATTTTGTCTCACGCTCTTTTTGAAAATGAAACTCTTAAGTTGAAGTTCCTAGCAGAACATACAATTATTTTGCATCACGTTTAATACCGGCACGGCATTGCAGAGGATTGCAGTCATGATTTTCCAGTTGCTTTCAAATAAAATCCCTGCCTGCTTTTCAGAGATTATTCTACTGGATTAGGTGTTTTTTTGGCAGGTTTTTGGCACAATGAGCAGCTTCTGTAATAAGATGAATAAAAGAAGGCTGATGTTGTCATCCTGCACATAGGTTTAGTTCTCATTGCTCGTTTCTTTTTTCTTGAGGCAACTGAATAGTGGACAAACCTGTTCTCCTCACTGATTTGCTGAATACGACACATATTTCACATCGTCCCTCAGATAAGCATGTCTTGTCCAGACCCGTTCTAAATAGCATGCACTGATTGGGGGAATTGTGGGCCCGCCATAACGTTTCCATTGTAACACTCTGTAGCTTGAGTGGCAGCTCTGAATATTTAGTTGAGTTGCTTGTCAAATAGACCCGCAGGCCTTATCCCGTACACGCACTTCGAGGCTTATTGGACAGTCTGGCGGCTGAAGGTACGGCGGTTTACTGCGAGGTGAAGGCTTCACACTCTGCCAGACGATCCTCCAAGAATTTAGGCTAAAAGAAAAGCAGCAATCAGCGTTACCCTCCCAAAAGATTTTTCCCAGGCAACACTGCTGCTCGGATATGTGTGCTCCCGATATGTAGCTCGCTAAGGTAAACACAGGGTGCATAACATTTCTAATACCATAAGCTTAGGCTCCTTAAACCTTTTTACTAGATATGACATTTTCCAGACTACATGAACCAATAGAGCGAAGATAGAAAGTATCTTTCCAAAATGAATGCAGTCAAATAATCCACGCTTTACATCATAACTAAAATACTATTTATGGTCTTACTTGTTACCGTGGTGACGAGTGTGTCGTTGTGGTTGTGCAGGCGTGCTGACAGGATGTCTCTGCGATGGAGTAGGAGGTGTGAGTTTTGCAGCATCACTGCTCGTTTTCTAAGATGGATGCGGGAGTTGACCTTGGTTCTATGTCGTCGCTGAGAAATGCAAGGGTAGACCTTTGATATTGCCTTGTGCGCTCATATCTTTATACCACGCACACCACGCGCAAAAACACATTCAGGCGTACAAAAATCAAGCTCTAGATCGGCGCATCATCATCGGCGTTTGTGTGTGATTGCTTTTGTTAGTAATTCACTTAACAGAAGTGTGGTTATTTTTTTCCCTCTGTGTAATCTCGACCTCAAATAACACTCAGTGTAGATTCCGTTACCCGGCGTGTCATCCTGTGAGTCTGCAGAAGTCAGCAGCTGCAATCCTTAACTGATGAGACAGTGATGAGCACACACACACACACACACGCACACCCCTTCCCAGAATCAACGGAGGCGTGGACCTCCCTCAATTTACAAAAAAGCCTCCCCCTCCCAGTGTTGCTGCTCTGAGCTCCTATTTCCCTCTATCTTTCGTCCACCCCCTCCTGCCCTGAGTGCGTCTCCCTCGCCGCGAACAGAAACCAGACAAATTAACTGACACGCCTATATCTCACTTTGTGCGTTTCCCTCAGATTGAGGCTTGGCGCTGGGGTTTTACATCCTGGGGAATACAGGAAAACACAAACTCATTCTCAACCTCTGAGCCCCCCAGTCGATCAGTCGCTCGAGATTTTAATGTTGACCTTTTGATCTTAAAGTTTCTCTCAGTCAGAAATCGGCGGAAACCCCAGCCTGACCGCAATAGGGGGGAGGTGGGGGGCTGTAGAAGCATGTGTCTGTGTGTTCTGCCAGTGGGTGTGCACGGCCACAAGTATCAGTTCATTACTCCCAAATGATTTATTCAGCTACTCTCACTTTGACTGGAGCGGAAAGCGGAGGGGTCTAGCATGCAACCGTTTGATCAGGATCCTCCATGGATTTTTGCATGTTCCATGAAGCTCAAAAGTGTTCAATTTAGGGCTGTGCGTTCAAAAGTCCATATCACGTTATTTAGAAAGATTCTGAGCGAATCCCGGTATGTGACGGTGTTGCTTTTCCAGTAAACACATTAATCTATTGACCCCGAAAAGGACCGCCGGCTCCCCGAACAGCTGTTCGCTGCTAGCTGGCCAACTTGCTAGTAACTGGCCGACGAGTTAGCGCGTTAGCTCGTTGTGGCTGCTAGTGTTGCCACCAGAGGCCCAATCGTTTTCTGATCCAACGTAACTTATGTCGGATTTTCCAAAACCAAAAACCCTCCAAACAGACACAGCTCCTCTCTTGGGCACAAGTTGTGTTGGTGCATCTCTGTTCCTCCTGTATCGCTCTTTTCCGTGTTTTCATGTAGCAGAGTTACCTCTTGTTGTGAGCTGTACCCAGCATGCACTTCGGCGGGGTCATTTTATTTATAAATGTACAATTCTTAGTGTTACAAATTGTTTATGTGTTACAAGCTGTTGTGTCGTGGTGTTTTACCCTGTTAAAGAGTGGTTGTTGTGGGTTATTCATTATAAAGTTATAACTATGACTCATTCTCAACACACGTAAGACTAGTTGCTCCAACCGCTGCGCGCTCT